ACTCCTTTAGGTTTGAAAAGTATTACAGTTATCCTCTACTTACACATAGAATCAAACTTTAAGATATTTTTGTAAATCCAAAAAGGTATCCTTTCCTTGAACTAAGTCAGACCTAAGGGGTAGTTCCATTCCTTGAAAAATGCCATTAGTGCTTGGTCATTCTAAAATTAAGATGAAACAGACACCAGGAGTGAATTTTGTAAGACATTTATTATTTGTGACTTGCATTGCCAATGGAAATCGAATTCTTGCATTTTCCAATTCATCGATTTTAAACTATTAACATATTTTTTATACAGATAACATCCAAGAATGATCAGTAGCAGTATTGGGCACATCATGACATGCCATATAGATATATTACAGTTATGGAATTTGCAGAACTCACCAAATGAGTGCAGGCATGAAGAAACCCAAAAGCACAAGACAAAAAACAAACAGTGATTGTTAATTACATGAAAACCTTAGCTCTTGTAATATTGGTGGTGAACAAACCATGATTCGAGTGTCAACTATGGAGCCCAAAAGTTAAGCTCATTCAGAGAGTAAAGGGTAGAAATTTCAGTTAACCACCAAAAAGCAAATTAATTAAACTCTTATTTTATGGAACAACCTATGTCACGTCAAAAGCGGCGCTCATAACTATTTACCAAACAATCCATAACTACAACAATGGTGAATAACACAAACAAAAGAACCTATTCAGAATTTCAATCATGGCATCCAAATTAATATGATTCGGCTATTAAAAAAACAAGTAGTAGTTTACAGCTGAAAGCACCTAATGGAAAGTAGATTTAAAGAAAAAAGATTGGAAAATGATTACCCTGGATTCCATTAAAGAAAAAAAAAACCAAGCAAAACTCCATGAAAACAAATGAAACACCCTGGATTTCATCACTCTATCGTAAAAGCAAAATGTCGGGATAATATGAAGTTCTGTGAAATTCCTGCTTCCTGAACAAAACCCTCAATACCGCAGTGGTGTGAAATAGAAAATAAGAAAAATTGCCAAAAATACAGGGGCTTCCACCCAAATGAATATGTTTCTCTTCATACCAAACCCTAAGATCCTAAAATCACTGAAGATTTATAATAATGAAATTCCCCAAACTCTGTTGGGAACAAAAACAGTAACCCACATAAACTCAAAGAGAATTAAGGAAAAACAAGTAAAAAGACCTCAAATCTCACATTGGTGTTTCAAGTACGATTAATTTTATTTCTCGAGTGATCGCGCAATTATCAAGTCCACTAATGTTGACAGCATAATTGGCCTTCGTACCTTCAATGCATACAGAGAGTAGGCGCGGCTGAGGCTGAAGAAGTGGAGGCGATGAGGCTGAAGCGGGTCGGCGTGAGCTGAACGAAGACTAGAAGAGGCGGATGAAGAGGAAGGGCGGCCGACGGCGTGAATAGAGAGTAGAGACGGGAGTTTGGAATTTAGGAGTGAGGAGGACAAAAGCTATCCATTTTACTAATTACCTATTACCTATTTACCTTATTATATCACACTAGTATAATGTGGGGCGATTTATTTTTTAAAAAAAAAAAAAAAAAATAAGTGGACAAAAAACAAAAAAAAAAAAGTGGGTAGCCCAAAATCAAAAACCCGGATTCAGATAATACGTTTTTCTAATTTTTTTTTTAATGAAAAACGTATTTAGATTATACGTCCTTAAATTAAATTTGTTTAATTTTTTAGAAAACATAGTGCGAAAAATGTACATATACAATTTAATTTAACAACGTATTCATGAAATACGTTTTCTTAAAAACCCCAAATTTAAATTGGAAACCCTAAAGCCTAAATAAATCAATTTTTGTTTTATAAAAAAAATCAATTTTCGTTTTATAACACGTATTTCATGAACACGGTTGCAAATATTAATTAATTAAAATAAAATAAAACGTATACAAGAAATACGTTTTTCAAGAGAAATGAAAAATATAAAACGTATAAAGGGAATACGTTTTTCATTATAAAAAATATAAAACGTATACAAGAAATACGTTTTTTAGGAAAATTAAAAATCTAAACCGTATTTGCTGAATACGGTTTTTAACAAAATATAAGTAAAAAAATCGGGTCTCCTCCTCCATTTCTGCGGAACTCAGTCACTGAAGCTGCGAGCGAAGGAAAAAAAAAATTCACTTCCTATCCATTATTCACCTCAAAATAAAAAAAAAAAGAAGCTTTTAACAATCAATCGATTCGGAGAAGAGGTTAGTTGTTATTTTAATGTAATGTAATTACATATTTGTTTTATATGTTTATGAATTTTGTAAGAAATATTTGTTGGTTTTGATGAGTATAGTTTAGAAAAGATTTATTGTTGATTTAATAGTTGTCTTAAATGATTATACATTGTTCTTGGATGATGGGATTCGTTGTATGTTGAGAATTTTTGCGAAAATTGAATAATTTGTATTGTATAGTTTGATTTTGAGAATTAGGGTTTTGGAGAGTTATTTTATAAAAAAATTGGTAATTTTTTTTTGTTATTGTAGTATTAATTGAAAATATTTATCTTGATTTGAGTAAAAGAATAATTGAATTTTTTGGGAAATTATGTGTTGTTGTAATTGGGAACAATTGTTTTTTGCAACAGGTATAAATGGCGTCTACCGGACCATACTTTGTTAATGTGTATTGGAATGTTCCGAAGGACTTGTTATATGATTTTTCAGATTTTAAAAACTCTCCGGATGGTTCATTTAGCATTGGGGAGAAGCTATCATTTAAAGAATTGGTAGATATTATTTATGAAAATTTTGGGTTTCATCGAGATGGTTGGATAATTGAGAAGATTAGTTTATTGAGTAGCGAACGCGATGGTTCGTGGAATATTGGAAACCTGAATACTAATAGTGCTGTTGATTGGATATATAATTTTTCTCCTTTCTCCTATGTGTATTTGCATTTAGAGTTGAAGCAGGTTACGCAGGCACCTACAGAGGTTACGCAGTTTGAGGATGTTGCCCTTTTTTACGGGGGAGTGGCTGATGTTGAGGGTACGTCTACTTCGCATGTTCGTAATTTTGGCGAAGGGACAAGCTCAACAGTTAGAGAATGCGATAATGAGGAAGAAAGTGATCATGATTTCATTCGCGGTGAAGACGATTTCACAGATGGTACCTCGGAAACGGAATCAGATAGATCAATAAACGAGGAGAGTGAACCAGAATTTATTGAAGAACACCCATTTCCTAGTACCGGTAAGCACGTGTATCGCGAGATGGGTGAGTGGGACCCGGCGTGTGTAGACCGGGATGAGTATGCCGTGCCAACCTGGAATGGGAATGTCGAGACTATCCGTTTAGGTACTGTTTTCCGGTCCAAAGGAGAAGCACAGACGGGTATCATGAGGTGGAACGTTAGCAGGTTGAGGGAGGTTAAGACAACCTATTCGAATAAGAAATCATTCAAGGTGGTGTGCAAGTCCAACGAAGATGAACCTTGTCCGTGGAGCGCTCGGGTGACGCACTGCACACGAGTTCATGAACTATGGGAAGTAACGGAATGGACTGAGAGGCACAGTTGTCTGCAAGAAGTCGAAAAAAATGACCACAGAAATGTAACCGCCACAATGATCTCAAATCTTGTCATGACCAAGATTCAAAAGAAGCCCGACTACAGTGTTACCCTGATCCAGGAGGATGTTAAAAAATGTTGGAAAGTCGATGTGAGCTACAAGAAGGCATGGCACGGGAGGAAAAAGGCCATCGATAGTTTGTATGGCACTTGGGAATCGAACTTCGC